GTTTAGCGCTTATGTTCTACCTCCTAGTTAGTTACAAAATTCCTGGAGTTTTAAAAGTTTGCAAGTGGCCATCCAAGGCACAACAGGTCTCTGTTCACCTGGAGCAACAGAGGAAGAAGGAGAGTCAGGAATTGGAGGAGGAAATGGAATGTATGGCTAACTGCCTCCATGAATAACTGCCTCCTGTGCCATGAGACTGGAAGAACTGGATGGTGACCAGTTACCATTACTGAACATTTGGATTAAAGATTCCATAGAAGAATCCTGATCAAAAGGGGGAAAATGCAGAACACAATTCAAATTCTCAATGAATTCCAGACTTTTTGGACTCATGGGGGCCGGATGAACCCCTGAAACTATTGCCCTGTGACAATCTTTAAAGTGTTAAACCAAAATCACCCCCTAAACTCTTCTTAAAACCAGACAATAGTTTAGCTTAACTAGTAAAAGATGTCTGTTTTGAGCATTATGCTTTTTTAAGAACTATCTATAGGGGACCAAACTGACAACAGCAACTTCAAAGATTAAATAGGAACCTTAGGGGGCAGTGAGATTATGTTAATGGAGGAGCAACAACTCAGAGAAGGAAGGTGAGAATGGTTACACAACTCAAAAAGTGTAATCAATGTCACTAAATTGTACATGTAGAAAATGCTGAATTGGTGTATGTTTTGCTGTACATATTCTCAACAATAACAGAATAAAAAAAAAATGCCTCCTGGAAGTAAGCCATTAAGCTTCATTGACTTCAGTGATCTAACTTAAATACACATTAGGGAAGGCTCCAAGTCTCTCAGGAAACTAGGTACAGAACAGGGGGGAAAAAACAACCCTATAGGAGGATCCCCACTATTTCATCATTTAAAGAAATACGTTGTTTGATTCGGATTCTTTAGAAAACATATTATGACAAAACAAATGGGACAAAATATTAATAGGTGAAGTTGACTTTTAAACCAAGATTTCCATATTCCCTATCCTTTTCCCACAAATAGCTACATTTGGCTATTTATTTCAACAAGTTTTATCCAACCTCAAATCAAAGACACCACAACAGATACCTGTAAACTCATAAGGAGGTCAAAAATTCCTAATTCAACACTCCATCAGAATCACCAGGAGGGCTTTCTAAAAAACAAAACAGAGAGCTAGGCCCCACCCTCAGAGTTTCCAGGTAGGGCGAGAATCTGCATTTCTATGCATTCCAGGTGATGATAGTTTGAGAACCACTGCATTAGATAAACAATTTGCATTTAACAAACAGTAGGTATTCGTATAGGTCATTGTGATTGCCTGTTTCCTGGGCTCTGTTGTAGCTTTCAAACATTAAAACCCTTTTTAGTTTCTGAGCCAATCTTAACAAAATCATGAATACATTAAGAAGTTTCACATCACCAACCAGATCTAGAAAGAGTCTCATATTTCTGAGTGACATCGGAGTACTAATGATCCTATGGAGATTCTGTTTTAAACCAAACATATCATCTGGAATCACAGCATTGCTATGTTGGTGGTATCAGCAAGAACAAAGACTTCTGCTACAGTCCCCTACAAGATCAGCCACTTCTTGGTCAAGTACCAAAAATGACACTCTTAGACACTATAATCTGAATTCCTAAACAACAGATGTTCACTATCTGACATTTAACTGTATGAGTAATATGGATATATAACTGTTAATTGCTAAATACATATTTTGTGGCACATATTGTTCAAATATTTTTTTCAATCAACGATTTCATCCAGTTCAAGATGGAAAAACTTAAAATACTGGGTAGAGTTTGTTATTGACTTTACTACTCTTACTTACATACTAGAAAAGATATGATTTCCTACCTTCTCAGTTCCTGAACTATTACTCACTGAAGAAATTAGTCATTCTTTGAAACATATTTCAAAAGTGCTTGGGTGACACTGAGGTTGGATGAACCTCCCCTCCAAAACTACTGTCCTGAAATAATCTTTAAACCTTAAATTAAAAACATCTTCTGAAGTTTTCTTTAAACTAAACAATAGTTTAGCTTAATTAGTAAAGAATGTCTGCTTTGAGTACTGTGCTCTTTGAAAGTGTTATCTACATGGCATCAAATTGATAACAGCAACTTGAAAGGTTAGATAGGAAGCTTAGGGGGCAGTGAGTTTACGTTAACAGAGGAGGAACAACTCAGAAAAGGAAGGTGAGAATAGTTGCACAACTTGAAGAATGTAATCAATGTCACTGAAATGACATGTAGAAATTCTTGGTGTATGTTCCGCTGTGTATATTTTCAACAACAACAAAGTATAAAATAATTTTTTAAAAGTGCTTAGGCAACAAGCATGGACTTACTTAAAACATAGGTAGATGTGTGACCTTTGGAATTCACAAGGCTTAGATCAGTCTTTCCATAGAAAGGTACATAAAACATCTGGTTTAAGTAGTGAACTGAGCTTATACACTAGGCTCCCCTTCCTCCTAAGGCCCTGGTGAAAAAACATTACAGAAATTTAAAAAAGGAGTAAGCCCTTAAGAGTGAGAAGCCATTTTAATTTTTCTGGAATCCAGATTTCTGGGGTCCACAGAGTTGGGGTGACCTACCAAAGCCATTTGTCCTTAGATGTCCTTTCGAATCTTAAGCCTTGAAGAAACTGGTTTCTAAAAGTCACCTTTGAGTCAAACCATGGTCTAGTAATAAACCAGTAAGACCGTTTTGCCTTGGGCACTGTGCTCTTTTGAAGAATTCAGTCAGTTCTGGGAAACAGAGACGCCAAAAGTTAGACAAGAGCTATGTTTTAGAGTAAATCAATAATTATTTCAATTGTTCTTCAAGACAATGTGGTATGAAGTAATTTATGACTACAAATTGTTCATCAGTTTTGTCCCAGACCTTTTTCCATGGCAATGCCAACAAGATGGGGTATAAAAGTCTTTGGAGGTTTTCTCATCTTGGGAACATTCCTGACTCTCTAGTTGAAATGTTACCCCAATTTGCAAACTGTATATACGATAAACTTCAATCAATTTCTATTATTGGCTTAGTAGGATTTTTGTTTTAACAAGAGCAAGGAGCAGTAGAGGGCTATCAGTGGACTAGATATTTGAATAAGTTTTTGGAAGAGAGAAAGCAGATGAAAATGAAAAGACAACTGAAATTGACTGGAGAAAGTTGTAGCCTAGAATATGAACATAGAGATGAAATGAAAGGTCACTAGATGGTAACTCAAATCCGCACAAAAAAATAAACAGCAACAGTAAAGGTAACTACATTTAAAAAACCAAACCAGTCCTGTGGGATAATCCAGTCAGTTGGCATAATATAGTTCTTAATGTCTATGTTCTATCTCCAAGCATGGTGAGTAAAGTCTGTGATCTTAAAAGCTTATGACCAGTCATCTAAGATACAACCACTGGTCTTTTTTCATCTAGTATTAAAGAGAAAGAAGGAAACTCAAGAATCAGAGAAGGGAATGCACTACAGGACTAATTGTTTTCATGAACCACTGCCTCCTCCACCATGAGACCAGAAGAACTAGATAGTGCTCCAGCTACCACTACTGAATGTTCTTATCAGGGACACAACAGATGAATCCTGATTAAAAGAGAGAAAAATGTGGAACAGAACTTCAAATTCTTAAAGAATCCAGACTTACTGACCTATTGAGTCTGGAGGAGTCCCTGAGACTTTGGCCTTGAGTTGCTCTTCAAATCTTGAATGGAAACTATCCCATGAAGTCACTTTTAAACTAACAGTTTAGTCCAAAGAGTAAAGATTGTCCCTCTTGAGCACTGCATTAAAAAGAAAAAAAAAAATCTATATAAGACCAAAGGGTCAACAGCTATTTTAAAGTATAGATGAGAAGGTTGGGGTGGGGGGGCAAGGAGTTTAAGTAAAGGGAAGTGAAAAAACTAGAACAGAAATAGAATGTTGACACAATGTGAAGAATGAAACTAATGTAACTCATCATTATGTCTAGAAACTGTGGAATGGGAGCAGGTTCTGCTGTGTATATTTTCACCAAAAAAAAACAAAAAACCAAACCAGTTGTTGTCGAGTCAACTTTGACTCATGGTGACCCCGTGTGTTTCAGAGTAGAACTGCACATAGGGTTTTCATGGCTGTGATCGTTCAGAAGCAGACTGCCAAGCCTTTCTTCCAAGGCACCTCTGGAAGTGGACCACCAACCTTTTGGTTAACAGCCTAGCACTTAACAATCTGTGCCACCCAGGGGCTCCATAAGTATTATGACAAAAAATATAAACGTGTTTTTGTTTGTAACCTTTTTCTTGGCCTGTTTTAAAAGAACCTACATAAAGTGGTAATTATAAAAATAAATTGATAAGCTTATAACATATAAAGACGTAACTTGCATAAAACCAACCCAAACTTGTTGCTGCCGAGTTAATTCCGACTCACGGCTGTCCTATAGTATAAAATAAGTAGTACAAAAGAGAGGGAAGAGAATGGAGATATACTGGAAGAAAATTTTCATTTACTATCAGGAATTTAGTATTAATCTGAACTAGATTTGGTACAACGGTTTAAGCATTTGGCTACTAACCAAAAGGTCCGCAATTTGAATCCACCAGCCACTCCTTGGAAATCCTATGGGGAAGTTCTACACTGTCCTACAGAGTCACTATGAGTAGGAATCAACTTGAGGGCAATGGGTTTGGTTAGACTGTTTTAAGCTGCTAATTGTAGGGGGTTAGAAGAAGATTGTGGCTTAGACAGATGCATCTTAACACCCCCTCCCCACAACAAAAATTCGAGAAACCAGTGAAACTGATACAAATAATGATCCTGGATCCTTGAACATCAAAGGGAAGGCTGAAGAACTGAACTGAGTAAGAATTACAAACAGAGTTAAAATGAAATCAGCAGGAATGTGGAGATTCTTAGAAAGTCCATGCCCAGATGGCTGGCCTGGCACAGTGTGGCCATTTTGAGAGAGTAGCAAACAACATTCCCAGGTGAGGAGCCCAGGAAAGCAACTTCATGGAAAACATCACTGGAGGGAGAGTGTCTTCGTCATCTAGTACTGCTCTAACAGAAATATCACAAGTGGGTGGCTTTAACAAAGAAAAGTTTATTTCCTCACAGAAAAGTAGGCTAAAAGTCCAAATTCAGGGTGTCAGCTCTGGGGGAAGGCTTTCTCTGTCAGCTCTGGAGGAAGATCCTCATCATCATCAATCTTCCCCTAGACTAGGAGCTTCTCTGCGCAGGGACCCTGGGTCCAAAGGCGCGCTCTGCTCCTGGCACTCCTTTCTTGGTGGTATGGAGTCTCTAACTCTCTGCTTGCTTCCCTTTCATCTCTCGTAAGACAAAAGGTGGTACAGACCACACCCTAGGGAAACTACCTTTATATTGGATCAGGGATGTGACCTGGGTAAGGGTGGTGTTATAATCCCACCCTAATCCTCTTTAACATAAAATTACAATCACAAAATGGAGGACAACCACACAATACTGACAATCATGGCCCAGCCAACCTGATACACACATTTTTGGGGGGACATAATTCAATCCATGATAAAGAGATACTGAGTGAGTGAACCTGGAAATAAATAAGGTAGGCAGGTCATGTGCTAGGTTCAAACTAGCCTGAGAAGGAGACATGAGGAAGTCTCATAACTTTGAAAAGAAAAACACAGGTAAGTGACACTGGATCAAAGTGGGGCAGATCGAATCATTGGAGTCTCAGGACAGGGGACTGATAAGACAGGGAGTGCCATTCTGTGGAGGGACAAGGTAGAGTGCAGAAAAGTGGGTGAGAGTTTCAGAGTCCCTGGTGAATGTAGAGAATTGGGGGGGACCTAGAAGCTAGTGATGGGACTTCCTATCAGTGGTGGTGCATGTCCACTTGGGGTCCTGCTTGCACACCACTGAATAATGAAACAGAAGAGTAATAATCAGAAGTTTCCCCCTTGACTAGCCCCATGCCAATCCCCCTTCCCTTCCTGTTTGAGCAGCACCCCCGCTGCCATTGCCCGCGTCGTGAGGTACCCTCAGCAACTCACCCAACATTTGACATGCCCACAGCTTCCCCTGCCTGGCCTGCATGGCAAGGAGACCACAGACACACCCACCGCTACCACCACCCAGCCTGGCCCACGTAGAGAGAAGCCCGAGACACGTCCACTGCTTTCCCCACCTGGCCCTACACAGTGAGGAGCCCTGGAAACGTGCCCACTGAGTGCCGGACCTGGCCTGTACAGCAAGACACCCAGGCGGCTCTCCCCACTTACTGCTCACCAGGCCCTGCCTGAGCCCACCGTGTACCCTGTCCAGCCTACGAGGTAAGGCACACCCAGTGACCTGCCACTCATGTGCCCCTCCACACTCTGCCTATTTCTTCAGGCTGTCTGAACATATTCAGAGACTCCTGGCCCTCCCCTCGTCACTAGTACACCAATCCATAACTAAGCAGAGGGCCTGCCTCACCCATTAGAAGTGTACTGCATCCCTGGGTCTGTGAAGATGACCTGTCCTGCTCTCCAGAGGCTGCACTAACAGCACACACCAGTGTGGAAGGACCACATGACCCCACAAGAGCTGTGGAGGGACCTTGACCACCCAACACCTAGAGCCCAACAACAGGGAAGGGTCCTGCTTGCACACTTCCACACGATCCTACAAGGAAAGACATAAACGTCCAACAACAGCGGATTCCCATGTGTATGTGACCCATCATACCCACCAGCGAGAGAAAACTACTCCCAAACCAGCAGCATCATAGTCATACACAGACCTCTACTACAAAACAACATTAATTAAAACAATACAAATGAAAGTAGGCAATATAAAGAGAAAGGAAAATACTAAACTTCAGATATATAAAACAAAAGCAAAACAATACAGAAAAATAAACAAACATAAAATCAATAAATATACAAGCAAAATAGAATCTTAATGTCTCTAAGATAGCAGTCAGCTGCAAATCATAGGAACAAACAGGATTAAGATGGCTCAAACAAATAAGTAAAATAAAGGGGCAGGAAAATTTTCTGAGGAAGAACTGATAATAGAACTACCTGACAAAGAATTCAAAACACTAATATTTAGGCTCCTCAAAGAGATCAAAGAAACACGGGAGAAAACCTAGAACTCAGGAAAATACGGAAACAAAATGACAAACTCAATACAGAAATAGAAACCATATAAAAATAACTACTAGAAATTCAGAAGCTTAACAATAAAATATCAGAAATAAACAACTCAATGGAAGGCCACTGAAGTAGAATTGAATCAACAGGAGAAAGAATCAGTGAAAGAGAGGACAAAACCCTTGATACTAATCTGTTCGAGGAACAATCAGAAAAAAGACTGAAGAAAAATGAAAAAGCCTAAGGGTTATGTAGGACACCATCAAGAGTAATAATACATCCATATTTTGAATCCCAGAAAGAGAAGAGAAAAAATGAGTACAGAGAGGATTTTTGAATATATAATGACAGAAAACATCCCAAATATCATGAAAGATGAGAAGATTTTCATCCAAGAAGCTCAACAGACCCCATACAGGATAGACTCCAAAAGAAATTCATCAAGGCATACCATAATCAAACCTTCTAGAACCAAAGACAAAGAAAGAATTTTGAGAACAGCTCGTGAAAAGTGACATATCACCTACAAAGGGGTTTCAATAAAACTAAGTGCTGATTTCTCACCAAAAACCACACAGGTAAGAAGGCAATGGGATGACATACACAAAGTCCTAAAGAAAAGAACAGCCAACCAAGAATCATATATCCAGCAAACTGCCTTTCAAAGATAAGGGCAAAATTAGGAGATTCCCAGATAAGCAGAAATTAAGGGAATTTGTAATTACCAGACCAGGCCTACAACAAACATTGGAGTACTTTGGATAGAAAACCAACAACATCAGACAATAACCTGAGATAAAGACACGTGGCAGCATCACTTAGACACCAAGCCACATAAAGACTTCACAAAAGCAAAATAAAACTACAAAATTGATTACAGAGAACCAGAAATATTAAACTGTAAACGTCAATACCTTCATAACAAAAGAGGAGATGAATGGTGTAAATACAGAACTTCCATATGGTGAGGAAATCAAAGCTATTTCAAGATACAACAGACTGTTTTAAATATACAATGATAAATGTAAACTTCAGGGTAACCACAAAGAAAATTAATCACTGAAATAAAAAAGAAGAAAAACAAAACTTAGTAAGCACACACACAAAAATAACAAATGAAAGGAAAATAAAATTCATATACAAAAAGAATTCAGCACAGAAAGTAAAGAAGAGCAAAGAAACTACTAACACTACACACACACAAAAGTATAACAACATGGCAGCAGTGAATTCTTACCTATTGATAATCACACTGAATACAGATGGATTAAATACACCAGTCATAGGGCAGAGTGGCAGAATGGATTAAAAAAAAAACATGACCCATCAATATGTTGTCTACAGAGACACACCTTAGACACAAAGACATAAATAGGTTAAAAATCAAAAGATGGAAAAAACATGCCAAGCAAACAGTAACCAAAAGAGAGCAAGAGTACCAATATTAATATCTGACAAAACAGACTTAAGCCAAAATCCATTATAAGAAACAAACGATATTCTATAACGATTAAAGAGTTAATTCACCAAGAAGACATAACAATTACAATCACGTATACACCCAATACCAGAGCTCCAAAATTTATAAAAC